TAATTTTATGTAATGTAAAAGACTTTTTCTTTTTCTAATTAATAAATTATAGGTACTATTCAAATTTAAAATATTAAATTCCAAATCTCAAATTCCAAATCTCAAATCCCAAATTACTAATTGTCAAAATTCAAAATTTTAAATTATGCCAAATTTCAAATATTATAAAAACTAAATTTTGACAGCTGAAATGTCAAAATAATTTGAGATTTTAGTGGCATGTATATAATAAATTTGAGACAAGGCCTTACTAAAACAAAAAAATAAAAAATAAAAAATAAATGTAAATTTCAAAAAATCAAAATTTATAAATACAAATTATATTAAAGAATAATCTATTAAATCTTTTAATTAATATTAATTAAAATAAAATAATCAATTAACAATTTAAATACAAGGGTAAATAAAAATATAATAAAAATATAAATAATAATTAACATATACTAATACAAGTTATTAATTACTAAATTATTAAACTTGTAAATAATTATCAGATAAAATTAAAAAATTGTTATATTCTTAAAATAAAATATATGTTTAATATTTTAAAATTCTGAGATATTTATTTTATATATAAAAATAAAAAGTAATTAGTTTAATATATTTTTAATTAAAGAATTTATTTAAATAATTAAAAAATTTCAAACTTTAAGTAAATAATTTTAATTTTTATAATATTATTTTGTTTTTTATTATGAAATTTAATTTCAGATACAAATATAATTCATATTAATATTATATATATCATCAAAACTATTGAATTAAGTTAAAAATAATTAAAAATTAAAAAATTGAAATTGAAATAAGCAAAATTTTTTTTTATATAGTAAATTGATTTAATTATAAATCAAACTTAATTAGAAATTGAAAAAATTAAAATTGAATTAATGACTTTTTTACTTTTAACAAATATTTATAATACTAACTATTAACTTGTTTGATTTCTTAATTTTTTATAAAAGAATTAATTATATATTAGAAAATTTTTTAGTTGAAAATTTGTATAAATTTTATTTATATTTTTTTATTTTTTTAATTTCACTTATAATTCATAAAGCACAAAACAATTTTTTACTAAGATATTTGTAAAATAAAAAGAAATTTTTGTTCTTAGCTACATAATGATATGTATTTTATTTCAATATACAGATCAAATATAAAAGATATGTCACACCAAAAAGAAATTCTGATTTTAGTTAATTATAATATATTAACTAATCTATAATATAGAAATTACTATTTGATATAGTGATTTTTTTATATTTAACTAATGATAATATTAATATTTGTAAAATTATTCATAATAAAGTTAAATATCTGTTAAAAAATTATGTAGAAATTTATAAAAATTTGTATAAATATTATAAGATAAATTACCTTGTACTTTATAAATTATAAGTAAAGTTAAAAAATAAAAAAATATCAATAAAAATTTATACAAATTTGTATAGGTGTTGAAAATTTGTATAAATTTTTATTTAATAAAATTTTCTAATATAGATCAAATACAAAATAATAGATAATACAAAAAAATTTTGATTTTAACTAATAAAAATAAATAAAATAATTAATTTTAATTAATAAAAATATAATAATTTTAATTTTAACTAATCTATAATATAAAAATTATTATTCAATACAGTATTGACCCTAATAATCAAATTTTATTTATTATTATATTTTTCATATCCCCCTATAAGAAATACACATATTTAAAAAATACTTAAAATATAATTAAAATATAATTAATTATATTTGTAATAATCTATTTAAAATATTATTATTTTATAATTAAAATATATTTAAAATATACTTAATTTAGATAATAAGTAAGTATATTTTAGGTATATACTTAAAATATACTTAATTTTAAATATATTTTAATAATATTTTAAGTATGTTTTAAGTATATACTTAAAATATACTTACTTATTACCTAAATTAAATATTTTTTAAGTATATTTTAAATATATTTTAATTATAAAATAATAATATTTTAAGTAAATTTATTACGAATATAATTAAATATATTTTAAATATATTTTAAATATATTTTAATAATATTTCAATAATATTTTAACTATATTTTAAGTATTTTTTAAACATGCATATTTCTTATAGGACATGGAGTATTTTCTATACATGTCACCTAAATTCCAAATTATTTTAACATTTCGACTATCAAAATTCAGTTTTCATAGTATTTGGAATTTGAAATTTGACATAATTTGAAATTTGAAATTTGGAATTTAATGTTTTAAATTTGAACAGCACATATAACATTTTCTGATGATGCTTTATATGTACAATGTATGAATTTAAATTCAGGTGGATATCAACCAATAATGAAAAATACAACATTTGGATTAGAAAATACTTTTCAATAAATGATATTTCCTTCTGATCATTCAAAATATCAAAACAAACCAAAAGGTATTAAACAAATATTAATTGAATAAGGATTATAACATGATAAATTAATTCTTGATTGTCAATTATGCAAAAACGAAGTTAAAAATTCAATAAGAATTGATTGTTGTACTTATAAAATTATATCTTTACAACCTAATTTTTTATTATAAAAGTCAGAATTGAAAACAATAATTGATGAAGCTAGACATAAATGTATTTTTTATTCCAAATATTATTGTAAATTGAACTTTATTGAAATGTTTTGGGAAGCAGCAAAAAAATATACATGTGAAAATTGTGATTATACATAGAATAGATTACAAAAAAACTGTTCTTGAAGCCTTAAATTCTATTTTATTAATTCAAATAAGACATTTTGCAAGAAAATCATGAAGATATATGGATATTTATAGAAAAGGTGTAACAGGAAAACTTGCAGTATTTGCAGAAAAAAAATACAAATTATATAGAAAAGTTCCTGATAATATACTTAATTAAATTATTTTAGAAAATGATTATAATGAACAATATATATTAATATATTTTTTATTAATAAAATATTTACATTTATATAAAATTTAATTAGCCAATAAAAATCATCCTAGATTACATTTTTGTTAACCAGAAAAATTGAGAATTTTTTTTTTGTCTATTTTGTTATCTATTCAAGAGCTATCCAATGGTACTATTTTTATTAAATTCTGATCACTAGATCAAAAGATATTTAAGGTACCTATTATAGAGATTTTGCACTATATATATCATGATCAAATAATATTCAGTGATATTATTAGTTTGATCAAATGGATTATATGATAATAATTCATTGCGAATATATAGATTATAATTTAATAATTGAAATAATCAAAATAATTGTAATAATTTATCATGTATTTCATGACTTTACATTAATAAATTTTAAAGAATATATTGTTTCTATGCTTGCTATTAAATATGGATTATTAATTGTATTATTATAGTTATTATTAATTATTACCTTTAATGATTATTTTCCAGATCACAGTTATTATTGCATGTGATCGTAGCCAATAAAATCACAAGACATTATACTTGATCTTGTGATTTTAGCTACGATCAGCAACCCGGACATGTGCGTTATTATTTATTGATATGCATATTACATCATCGCATTATGAAAATAAAAATAATAACCAAAAACAAATAAACAATCAATTATATAAATATAGCTGATATTTTTTGAAAAAATAATTTTCGGATCTCTTTTACAAAACTCTGAAACTTGCCTAAAAATATATTTGCAAGAATGTCAGAACAATCTTCTCCTTCAACTATGCAACAAACTTGGAGAAGATTAATAAAAAATGAAAACAGGAAGAGGATAGTTGCTATCTTCTTCAAAACCATGAACCGGCTCAAGATTATCTGATACTGAGAGGTTTCAAAAAGCAAAAAAATGAGAGGAAGGCAACCTCAAAAATACTAGTTCTGGAGCTCAATACAAATTATTTATTGAGTCTAAAGTCCAAGAACTAGAGCAACAACAACAACAACAACAGCAACAACTTCAACTTCAATGACATCAACAGCAACAACTTCAATTTCAACATCAATTTCAACTTCAACAACAAAACCACTGCCATTACCACCAGCACAACAACAACCAAAGATACCAATACCAAGACTACCAAACTATCAAAGAAAAGATGAGATAGAGCACCAAAACTACAAATTTTATTATCAAGAAGAAGATGGGGAAGACCGACGAAAGCAGAGCAACAACAAAGAATTTTACTTCAATAATAACAAATTTTACTCCAACAACAGTGACAATACCAGCAACAATTATTGGATGACCTCAAGCAACTCCAATTGGAACAAGACCAGCAGCAACAACAATTGGCTGCTCCAAATTCTGGAACCAAAAGAGGCCATGATGAAGTGGATAATGATGATGGAGATGATAATCAAGCTAAATCATCCAAGGAAAGAAATACTTCCAATTAATGGGTGATTCAGTAACATAAACAATAAAAAACGAAAAAAAAAATATAAAATCAATTAAAAAAAAAAAAATATATATATATAAAATCAATTAAAAAAATATAAAAAAAAAAACAAAAAAAAATATAAAATCAATTAAAAAATATCAAAAAATCAAATTAAAAAAAAAAAATAAATATATATATATATTGCGATATCTCTTACTCTCCATTTGAATCCTTTCAAATGATTTTTATGCCCTTTTTTGCTGTTTTTGTTGTTATCTTCCTCCCATTTATTTATATTCTCTGATGGCGCTGGATTCTAATTCATTAGGTGTGCATTATTTATTAATTTTATCATTTTTATCATTCGAATTACAAAGATACTAATTTCGTACATTCTTTAATTATAATTATAATAATACAAAAATCTATGCTTTATTTTCTATGTGATTTTATCGTTTGAATTATTTATTGAATTAAAAAAATATAAAAAATCGATCAATTAATTCATCTTAATATATAAAATATACAATTTTGTGCGTTTTTTTTTTTTGTTTTTAGAATCCAACAATGGACGGACATCGGCCTAACGACCCGCTACGGTAATAATCACGACGAGCGATGACCGGACTGGAAATGAACCGATTTAAATCTATCCATTATGCAGGTCACGTTTCTTTGTTTCTTTATTTGTTCGTTTGTTTGTTTTAATTTCTGCCAAATAACATAAAACTAATGACGTTTCTCATTTGCGTTGAAATTAGAACAAAAAAAAAATTATGCAGGTCATGTATTATCTCTTAATTAATTTAATTTGCTTAATCGTTTTGAAATATAGTTAACATAAAAACTAATAAAATTTCTTTTTTTTTATCTGTAAAAATTTTTATCATGAAATTAGCATGTTATAAATTCCCAGTTGGGTGCATAAGTCAGGTAAATATCGATATAAATTTTGTCATCGTTTTTTTTGATACGATATATTATTCAAATTTACTAAATTTATTCTATATGCACGCATGATATCGACCACGACCGGATACTGAACGAACGATGACCGGATTTGGCGTTTATTTTGTTCCTTATGTTTGTTGTTGTTCGGGTGACCCGCACACAGAAGTAAGCGAGGCTTCCTCAGCCGTAATGGTTCGGGTGACCCGCACACAGAAGTAAGCGAGGCTTCCTCAGCCGTAATGGTGGAGCGGGTGTTTTATATATATATATATATTGATTTTATATTATTTATTTTAAAATTTTTTAAATAAATAAATATATATATAAATATATCTCTTTATTTCTTATTGCTTTCTCGCTAATTCTTTTTTCATTCAAGTAGTATCGAATATCGTTCAACCGTTGATCAAAACCTAAAAGAAAAAACAGATTGGAACTGGATACTAGATGAAACGATTTCTTTCTTTATTTTTTTTTGTTTGTGCTGTTAAACAATATAAACTAATAACATTTTTCTTTTTTATGCAAAAATGTTTATTTGCACTTTAAGCACAACCCTATCAGGAAATTTTTCTAGGCGTAAATCTCCGCAATATTACGACACCTACGTATATTTTACGGTATTTATACGGGCTATTTTGGATTTAAATAGGAATTTCTCGGCAGATATCGATGCTATAGAGATGAAACAAATGTTATCTTGTGTCTCGGAACAAGAGCTTTCGATCGGTCATAAGAATATTTTAATAGAAAATCGCTCTCTGTCTCATAAATCGTTGACGAAGTCAAAAACGATTGCGAAGATTTCCCGCAATTTTTACCCAAAAAATCCATTTTTTATTTCGATAGCGATTTGTGAGACAGCGAGCGATTTTCTGTTAATCCATTCTTATGATTGATCGAAAACTATGGTTCTGGCCTACAATATAATATGTGCTTCATCTCTATAGTACCTATATCCGCCGAGATATTCCAGTTTAAATTCAAAACGTCCCGTATGAATACAGTAAAATATACGAGATTTTGAGCCTAAAAAATTTCCGGATACCGGATAATAATGATCACCAGACTGTAATTGGGTGAACGGTTTAAATTTATACATTTATTTATATTATGCAGGTCATGTCATTATTTCTTAATTTATTTTATTTTGTTTAATCGTTTGAATTCAAGTTAACATAAAACTAACAATATTTTTTTTTTCATAAGTCACTGAAAAAGTAATAGGTAAATATTAATTTTAAATTTACTATATGCATGATCGAGCATCGGAATAGGCAAATATAGAAATTGTACTTCCGAACATCTTATTCAATTTTCGTACATATATATATGCAGGTATTGTACGAACAAATTTTTGGTTACATCACTCCTTTTTTTCATTTTTAACTATTTATTTTTCTTACTATACATTGAGGTTACCGGGGGTGAATTTTTTGTTATTCAAGGAGGACTTAATTATGATGGATAAATACGGTAATTTATAATTGTACGAATGAATTTTTTCATCAAATATTTTAAAAAACTAACTCGATTTCGTTATATATATATATATATGTATGTATGTTAGAACCAAAATTTGAAGTTTTTAAATATAGATCTTCATCGATTATCATAATTATCGTATTTATCAATTATCGTTATCGTAATTATCAATTATGATAATTAATCAATTATGGTAATATAAGTAATAGATTAATTTTTTTAAACTTTCTCAATTTGTTATATTCTGTAGATCTTTGATACTATTTTTTAATCGAAACATCAATTCATATTTCATTTGTTTCATTTATATTAAAGAGTTCAAAATAAACATTTTTATTTTAATATAAAAAAATTCCGAAAATATTTTTTATTATCGAAATCGTTTATTCCTGATAATAAAAAAAAATATTTATACATTCCAATGATATGGAAGAATAGTCGTGATTATAATACTGAATTAATTAAATATGATGTGCAAATAATTTTCCTTTCTTTCTCTTAAATATGCATATTATTTTAATATTTATGTCGCACGATGCATCGAAATCGAACTTACAGTCAATCCTTTTTTCCGTATGTTCAAATATGTAATAGAATGAAAAGGAAAAAGTATTAATTGGGAAAATTAATTAATTATCCGTTATTTTTTATAAAAAAATTCAACCTTTTTGAAGGCATTATAAAAAAAAAAAAGATAAGAATTATAACGAATAATAAATAAAGAATACATAAAGAATAAATGATGCATACTTAAATTCACTTTTGTTTAATTTACATTATGATTTAATTGAACGGTTTAGTTATACGTTAACTCTTATCATTTAATAACGAGTCTAAACTTATTATAATTTTCATAATAAATTAAAATTAAATAAAGGGATAAACTTTTTTCGTTCAATTTTTTTTTACACTCCTTTCTCCTTACTTATTTCTTCATTCTTTCTTCATTCTTTTATTTTCTTTTATTTCCTCTTGATTTCTCTTATTTTTCATTTTACTTCTTTTTGTTTTGAAAATTTTTTTTTTAAAAAAAAAGAGATAAATAAATATTAATAAAAAAAAATGGTACCAACGATAAAAACGATAACATTCTTATTTTCCTTGTTGATAGCATCGAGTCTTGCTGACCTTGACGGATGGCCAGCACTAGATGAAGGACCACCAACATCCGAAGATTTTAATAAACTAGTTGATTTTTCAAAAGTTGCAGATGCTCCTCTTACTATTCTTGATCAGGATTATGAGATTACAAATTGTGATGACGAAGGAGAATTTTGTAATTGGAGTTGTACTCAATGTGTTAGACCGACTGATGTTTTATCATGTCCAAACAAAAGAGGTAGATATTAAATATTATTATTTTTAAATTTATTATTTTCACCTTTTTTAAAAATTTATTATTTTTTTTTTAAATTATTAATTATTTTTATTTTTATTTTATATAGATTGGGGTCTGACTTTCGATGATGGGCCATCGTAAGCATTCATTCAATCATTTTTCAAATATAATTGTCATCACGTGGTGACCGTTGATTTACTCTATTATACAGAGATTATACCAGCGATCTTGTCGACTTCCTTGATTCACAAGGATTAAAGGCTACATTTTTTATTGTTGGTTCGAGAGTGGTAGAACGTCCGGATGTATTACAAAAGATTGTCAAATCAGGTATTATTATATATTATTTATTCATATATTATTATCATTCATAATAATTCATTCATCAATTCGATATCATTATTATTAGGTCATCAAATTGGAGTTCATACTTGGTCTCATCCAATGTTAACATCTATAAGTAATGAAGAAGTTATAGCAGAATTACAATGGACAGCTAAAATAATTAATGAAACTGTTGGATTAGTTCCTAAATATATGCGTCCGCCATATGGTGATTTTGATGATAGAATTCGCGATATTTGTGCACAACTTGGTTATATTATTACAATATGGGATAGAAATACTAATGATTGGATGATAGGTGATGATACACCAGATTTTAATATTCAATGGGTACCCGGTAATTTTACGCAATGGGTAAAAGAGAATTCTAATACTGGACATATTTCACTTGAACATGATATATATGAACAATCTGCTGCTCAAGGTCCAAAAGTTGTTCCTATATTACAAAAAGCAAATTTTAACGTCAAACCAGTAGCTAGTTGTTTGGGTGATAAAAATCCTTACATGAATCGTATTATACCTACAGCTACTGGAATAACTGGAACTTTAACTTCTGGAACTGGTAAACCTTCTGGATCTAGTAAACCTTCCAGAGCTAGTAGTAATCCTTCATCCACTAGTCAAACTGCTTCTACTTCTAAGCCTTCAAATTTGGGTTCACCTACCCCAATGTCTTCTTCAGAAAGAATTAATTATAATAATTGGTTAATTATATTGGGGTTATTAATGTCACTAACTATATTCCATAATTAATTGTTTATAAATATATTTTTTTATTTTAATTTATATATATTAAGTATTTTGTCTTTGTTAATTTCACGAGATTTTATTATTGTTATAGACTTATTGAATTGATTTCAAATAATTTTTCATGAATATAGAAAGTTGGCTATGGAATTGAATAATTATATTTAATACATTTGATTCTAAAGACAACTAGAATGAATAAAAGTAAATAAATAATGAAAATTGAATAATAATTATAAATTATTAACATTAATATAAATTAATTGTTGGTTGTCTAAGATTAATGTAACCAATAAAATAACATCACGTGTCAATAATCGTTTGACCAGTAAAAACCCCAAAAAATCTTCCCCTAAAAACGGCACTATACACCAACCTGCCAAAAGTATCCAGGCAACTGTTTTTTTTATCAAATTTATCAATAAACTTCAAGGGCAAATTGCGGCACAAGGAATGATTTAAATTGCATAAACTTTTTTTTAAAAAGATCCCCTGATCAATGGCTATCATATGATATCTTTTCTGTTAAAATTGGATGTTTGCTCGGATAGAAATCTTGTCTTAAATAATGTTATCCAAAAATTGCAAATCAAATTGTTAATCACAATGTCTCTCGTTTTCAATAACTATCCACCGGAAGTGCAATATATCTTATAAGGACTTGTAGCCCTAAACTAAGTCTACAATGTTTATTAGTGTTATATTGCTGTTTTCTAGTTAAGATTAAAACTTTACTTAGACACGACTAAAAAATGATCGAAATTATTGTTGATCATTTTGTCATTTTAGAAAAATTATCAATAATTTCTACATAGTCAGTCACTCAAAACAAATCAATAATTTCTACATATAAAACATTTTTTGTAACAATAAAATCTTAAAAATAATACTAAGTAATCTTAAAGAGAATATTATTGTGCATCTACTGTAAAGTTTTTAAAACTATATCATGAGAATATAACAAATAATCACCAATTAAACTTTAAGGAATAATTGTCAATCTTTTTTTTAATTCTTATAATATAGGTTTGTAAACTTTACAGTATGTGTAAAACAATATTATCTTCAAGGCTACTTAGTATTACTTTTAGTTTTTACTATAAAATAATAAATTTTTATATGTAACAACTTTTGAAAAATGTTACATAGGAACAAAGTGATCGGTGATAATTTATCTCAAGATCTTTACTAAGTTTATCTATGAATTTCAAAAGCAAATTATAACACAATAAGTAATTACAATTATGTAAACTTTTTTTTTAAACGAATCCCCTGATAAAGGGCTATCATATGATACCTTGTTTATTAAAATTGGATGCATACTTACACAGAATTCTTAATTTAAATGAAATTAATCAAAAATATCCAAGTGAATAATAAATTCTTTTGATTTTGATGAATATTTATCATAGATACCAACTATCTTATGCAAACTTGTAGTGAAAGACGAGATTTACATATAACTGTTTTTAATATTTTCTAGTGAAAATAAAAATATCACTTATGACCAAATAAAAAATAATTATATTTATTAAAATTTTTTTCACAGATTTTCTTAAAACTTACTATAGAAAGTTTATAAAATAATATTTTTAAATTTGGAAATGTATTTTTTTAAAAAAAAAGAACAAAGAAATTACATATACAATGGATTATTATTTTATATATAAAAAAAATTCAATCAATATTTTTAACAAAATAAATTTTTTAAAAAATATATATTATTAATTATTATAAAAATTTTAAAGTTATGTCTAAAAGAAAAAAACTTACTGATTTTGAACATGAACAAATTGTTGATTTGCATAATGAAAATATTCCACAAAGAAAAATTGCTAAAATATTAAATCATCCTAAATCTATAGTAGGAGATGTAATAAAAAATATAATGATCAAGATTTAACTTCTGCAATTTCATGATCAGGCAGATCAAAAATATTAAATGATCGAGATAGAAGACAATTAATAAAAATTATTAAAGCTAATGGAAATTTAACATTAGTTGAAAATACTGAAAATTTAATGTAACATTAAATTTTTCAATTTCTAGTAGAACAGTTCAAAGAGTTTTATATGAAGAAGGTTATAGTGGACATGTTGCAAAGAAAAAATCTTTTATTAATATGAAAAGAAATTGAAAAAAAGAATGAAAAAATATTATTTGAAGTGATGAATTGAGATTTGAATTATTCAATAATGATTCTAGAAATTAGGTATAGTGTAAAAAAGATGAATGATATAAAATTGAATGTTTAAAACCTACAGTTAAAAATTCAATTGGTTATAGTTTGGAGATGTTTTTGCAATAATAAATTAGGACCATTAGTTTTAATAGAAGGTACACTTAATTCTGATAAATATATAGAATTACTTAAAGAATATTTAATTCCATTTTTAAATAATTTAGATGCAGAAAATCATATTTTTCAAGATGATAATACACCTTGTCATACTTCAATTAAAACTAGAAAATGGAAACAAGAAAATTTAATTGAAAGACTTCCTTGGTCAGCTCAAAGTCCTGATCTTAATCCAATTGAAAATTTATAAGATGAACTTGAAAAAAGAATTAGAAGACATAGATCTATTCCAAAAATAAAAATGAATTTTTTACAGCATTACAAACAGAATGGCACAAGATTGATGAAAGTAAACTTATTCAATTAGTGAAAAGTATGAGATATAGAGTTGCTGAAGCTATAAGAAATAAATTTCATCCAATCAAATATTAAATTATTATCATTTTTATTTTAAAATTAATATTAAATTTATAATTTTATAATTGATTTAAAATAAATTGCAATTTTAATATTATTAATTTTTTTATTAATATAATTAGATAAAAAATCAAATTATAATATTATATAAAATTATAAATAAAAATAATAATTATAGATGTTATTATATTCTTGAGTTAATATAATTAATTTCATTATATCTTTAAGCCAGAATTTATATTGAATAATATCTTTATAGTAAAGTTTTTATTTTCACTAGAAAATATTAAAAACAGTTATAATAAATGTTGTAGACCTTATTTTAGTCTACATTTTTGTATAAGATAGTTGATATCTATAATAAATATTCACCGAAACTGAAAAACTTTACGATCAATTATTCACTTGAACATTTTTGATTATTTCATTTAAATTAAGAATTCTATACAAGTATGCATCCAATTTTAATAAACAAGGTATTATATGATAGCCCTTTATCAGAGGATTCGTTTAAAAAAAAGTTTATGTAATTTTGATTATTCATTGTGTTACAATTCGCTTTGAAATTCATAGATAAACTTAGTAAAAATCTTGAGATAAATTATCACCGATTACTTGTTCCGATGTAATATTTTCAAAAGTTGTTACATATAAAAATTTATTATTTTATAGTAAAAACTAAAAGTGATACTAAGTGGCCTTGATGATAATATTGTTTTACACATACTATAAAGTTTGCAAACCTATATTATAAGAATTAAAGGAAAGATTAACAATTATTCCTTAAAGTTTGATCGGCGATTATTCACTATATTCTCATGATATAGCTCTAAAAGCTTTAAATTAGATGCACGATAATTTTCTCTTCAAGATTACTTAGTATAATTTTTAAGATTTTATTGTTACAAAAAATGTTTTAAATGTAGAAATTATTGATAATTTTCCTGAAATGACAAAATAATCAACAATAATTTCGATCGTTCTTTAGTCGTGTCTAAGTAAAGTTCTGATCTTAACTAGAAAACAGCAAATATGATACTAACAAACATTGTAGACTTAGTTTAGAGCTATAAGTCCTTATAAGATGGATTGCACTTCTGGTGGATAGTTATTGAAAACGAGAGACATTACGATTAAAAATTTGCCTTGCAATTTTTGGATAACTTTATTTAAGACAAGATTTCTGTCCGAGCAAGCATCCAATTTTAATAGAAAAGATGTAATATGATAGCCATTGATTAGGAGATCTTTTTAAAAAAAGTTTACACAATTTAAATTATTCCTTGTGTCGCAATTTGTCCTTGAAGTTTATTGATAAATTTGATAAAAAAACAGTTGCCCGGATACTTTTGGCAGGTGGTGTATATCTGATTTTGTTGTATAAATTTCACCACAGATAACTTCGGGAACAATGTAAGGGAGATTCCCATAAATATTATTTGATAGTTTGTCAACTGGTCCACTCAATAATTTTCCAGAGAATTATATAAGATATTTCCTGAGTGCAGATCTCTATGTACTATATTTCGGCAATGAATTTCATCTAAGAAATGTGTTATAGAGTAAATAATATTATGTTTTTGTAACAATGTAAGTGAGTGATAATTATCTTTTAAAAAATGTCTCAAATCATTTAAAACTAACATATAATCTTAGGTGCTCGGATCTTTAGTCATCTAGCAAGAAATGTAGAAGCATTAAATGTGAAACTTAATGTTACTTGTAATTATATTATTTCTGAAATATCAAACAAAATATAATAAATGCACTAATTATTTAACTACTTCTTGAAACCAATTCATATTGATATTGTTTGAGTTATTCAATCTTTTGTCCTCCAAATTTTTCCAATACTTGTCTTTCAAAATTCCATTTAGAATAGCATCCATCTTTCCAAATTGCTCTGTAAACGGTAGCACATCCTCCTTCTGACAGATATTTGACATTCTCAAATTGATCATATTCAATCCATTCAATTACTTTCTGAGGTGTCATAGTTTTTTACTGAAATTCTTTAATTAATTTATCAATTTCATTATTTCGAGAAGTCCAGTTTTCAAAATTATTTTCTAAATATTTACGAATATAAAATTCACAATATTGGATGGCTTGATGCCAATCCTGACAATTGTCGCATTTTTGTTTTTCTACAGAATTATCCCTAATTCTTAATGCGGCATCTATCCAGTAATTTTTTAAATAAAAGTCTTTTTTTTTATTTTCGTGAGATGAATCATTTTCAATAAAATCATTTCGATATTCTTCCTGTTCAGTAGCTGTTTTATGAATATTGATGTCCAGAGTATGATGTGATTTTCCCCAAACATTTCTTAATTTTTTTCATTCATTCAATTTTTCGAGTAGCCATTTCTTATTTCATTATTAGTAATACGGTTTTAAATATTAATTAA